CTTTGCACGCCACTGTACGAGTGTCGAGTAGTGAGTAATTAAACAGCCTACTTGCATATTTTTTAAATATTTAACTAATATCGTATTAAATATATGGTACTGTAAAACTTACTTATGTACTTGGTGTAAAAAAGAACTGAATAAATAGTTTCAAATAGTCAATAAATATATTGATTAAATTAAATTTCACGGTTGGCGGGGAATAGGAAGGAAAGGAAAGAAATGATACAGATGATTATTTCTTAATTTCAGTTGAAAATATATTATAAAATAAATATAATATTTAGGTAGAATAGGTTGGATTTGGCGTAACTGCAGTGTTGTCTTTGTATAATAATATCAACGGGTGTACAGGGATGGCTATAATATGATGCCTATATAACTGTATTATACGTTTTATTTATTTCTGGTTTTCGTCACAGGGTGGAGAAGAACTCATATCTTTATTGGACGATATTGGATCCGCCATGGGTATACTCGTGATCACCACATTTGAAGCCATATTGATATTTGGTATTTACGGTATAAGCGAGTTCTGTACCGATTTGACATTTATGTCCAACCATCCGCCATCCATTATACTCAAGATATTGTTTATAGGAGGTCCAGTATTTATTATCGTAAGACATCGTTAACTTCCTTAAAATATTATAATTTTGTTATTTTGCACATTGAAAAAAACTTTTAATTTTTTTTTTTTTTGCATACGATACGTAAAGAATATAATGCTCGCCTGTAGTTTCTATTGGATTCCGCCTAGTTTTCAAAATGTAAATTATCCTCCAGAATTTTACACAATGGCATGGGCGTTTGCGATATTGACATTTTTGATCATTATTACCGCTGCGGTATACACGATCGTACAATTCACAATAAAAAACGTAAGAATTTAATAAGAAAACGAAATGTTTTACAAAGTGTCCTAACGTATGCGGCAAATTTTGTAGAGTTATAAATATTTAATTTGTTAATTTGCCATTTTATAAAAGAGAGGTAGCTATTATTCTAAATTTTTGAATGCATCTTATATTCATATCCAATCAATAGATTTTTAGCAACAGCTGTTTTAATTTCTAAGGTTTTCAATTTATGTATCTACCTATATCTATATTATTAGTTACATTATAAATAATAAAATAATAAATTTAAAAAAAAAATTATTAAAATGGTTATTACTCGTCAAAAAAAAAAAATATAAATAAATGAATGCGTGTCTTAGAGTATTATGATAAGTTTATTATACTCCAGGTGACGCATTCTTTCATTTATTTATTTTTTATTTTTATATATACATTTTTTATTTATATATTTATTTACTATATTTATATTATACATGTAGAAATGAGAATTTCAGACTAGAATTATCTTTGGAACTACGTTCCATACGGTTTTTTTTTTATTCAATATTAGATTATAAAGCAAATAAGGTTTTAATATTTCCGATTCTATACGTGAATAAACAATTAGGTTAAAAATGATAAATACTCAAGAGCTTTCAATAATAAGTTTATACCATTACATAAATACTCTGAAAAATACTGTGGTGCATTAAATATGCGTCGACGTTGTAGCATTCGCAGTATAGCAGTCTCGTGTTCAATTCCGAATCAATTAATTATTTTAGATTCTGAGTGGAACTAGGATCTATTGGTTATACAATGATGATTATTATTATATTTTTTTTGTGAACAACTTTTCTACTAGTAATTTTTTTCCGAATTACAATGATAGCATTTTTTCTGAAAGGAAATCGGATTGAGGAGTTCATTTTTTGATTTTTCCAGGAGTTTTCCAAATAAATTGGAAAAAACGGGAAAATGTATAAAACGTTGGTAAGGGCTAAAACATATTTATAGGTCACTTTTGATTTTACTATTTAATGGGGAAAATGTAGGTGAAAAGGAAAAATAAGTAAAATATTAAACAAATATTATTAAAGAAAACATAATAAAATGCATATGTAATTACTAGGGCTCGGGTTTTAAAGCATAATAAAAAATAAAAAAAGCAATTAATGGTCTTAAAAAAGCAAAAAAAAGCACGCCAAAAATTAACATGAATTAGGTATAATTTATAAAACTGAATAAAAAAAATTAATTTAAATTAAAAAAAAGAATTTACTACCATGTATTTGGCAAGATTTTCAGTTGTGAAACTGACTCTATTGTCTGACAGAATGTTTTTATACATAGAAAACGAACGCTCTACGTCCACTGAAGTGATTGGTGCATACTTCATGCAAGAGGTTCCGTTTAAATGAAACCCATGATAATTCATTTCGTTTGATGAAACACCACACAGTATATAATTAATGTCCAGTAATTATTTCCAGCCTTTGTTTTTCAAAAGAACACGATTTAATTTTCCCGAAATACGAGTTGCAATATCTCTATTAAATTCATTTAACTTCTTTTTTGCATCTAAGACAATATTTATACATGTTGTCAACGTTTCACCTAAAATTATGTATATAATTTGGTATTATAATGTACAATAATGTATAATAGTATACTCTGTTAAATGTTACCTTTTTTCTCTAATGTTGTAATAATATCTAGTAGAAATCCAAAGTTGGTGGAAATATACACAATATTTGATTGAGAGAGATTGAGAGATACATTCTTAAATAGTTGTTTCACTACTTTAACACATTGAGTTTCTTCTTCGAAGTCTTCAATTACACTTTTTAATTCATTAAAATAGTTGAAACAATACTGGACAGCTTTGATCCATGTACCCCATCTAGTTGTTATTGGCCTTGGTGAATTTGGCAATTCTGGGCATTTCTCATTAAAGATTGCTGTACGTTTGGGACATTTTAAAAACGTTTTTATCATTCCTCCAATCAACTGATCTACATCTTGGTAGTGCGCACGTACTTATTCGCAAACATTGTGTAATGCATGTGCCAAGCATGTCACATGTATGAGTTTTGAGTAAAGTACTTTTATACAATCACCAGCTTTTTTCATATAAGGTACCGCATCTGAGATAAATAGCAAAACATTGTTATGTTGTATACCATTTCCCCACAAAATATGCTTAGCTTTATCGATAGTTGGAATATTGTACTATGATTAACTTTATCCAAGTATTCTGTGTGAATAACGAACATATTACTTGGATTTTGTGGTTGTAATGTGCCCACTATTACATTTGCAACATTACGACGTACCGAATCCGTAGTCTCATCGATAGATACCCATATTTTTTGATCTGTTATTGTATCACGAATTTTTGCCAATGTATTTTCATATCATGAATTGAAATATCCTTTACATAATATCAACTCTTCAGGAATAGTTTTTTTGCAATACTTTGTAAAAAATTCGCGAAAATGTTTATTATTTAGTTTATTTATTGGAATATTTGCAGCTATCAATGTTGAACATAAATCGGCATTAAAATCTGACTGATTACTAAACTGTTTCAAAAACGGTTGAAATAATGCAGAATTTTCATTTTCATGTTTTTTAACAGCTTGCACATGTTTTTCTCTCAGTATATGCTGTTGTACATTATATATTTTTTCACATGAAACTTTTATTTCACAATGTTTTCAATATAAAATCGATTCATCTGTTTGAAAAATTCTTCACCGAATTCTAACACTTTTTTTTAAAAAAATGCATTTGTTTTAACTTTTGACATTTTTATAAATTACAACACTATTAAACTTACATTTTAAACTGGTCGATATCGATGTTATACGAGTACTGAGCATACGTTCTACAGGCTATATGTAATAGCCGATAGGCGATAAGCTATCGACCTGTCTGTAGTTCGATAATCTAAACGTCGATGGGTAAAATATAATATCTATATTTATGTTATATATAGTCACATAGATATACAATCAAGCCGATAACATAAACTATTTAATTATTTATTTCGTATGGCTTTTAACACAAATCAACTTAATTATCAAACTCTAACTAAAATGTAAACTAAAACAATACAAAACATGAATTAGATATGAAGCTATAACGGTATAACTTACAATAGAACAATAATAAGTCAAAAATCATAAATAATAATAAAGGTGAGTCGTTTTTGCGATGTGGGTTCATAAACAGATGTCGAGGTTCGTAATCCAGGTAATTGCTTCGGGTGTTACTGCATGCAGGCCTTCAAAACCTTGGTTGAATTTTCTACCTGGCAATTAACTACTATATGATTTATTGTTTATTCCCCGTTTCCTCAGTCACATACTGGGTTATCTTGGAGCCCCCACTAATTTAGAAGGTAACCACACCGACCATGACCTGTACGCAGTCTATTTAATGTGGACCAGGTACAACGAGGAAGATTCATTCCTAGAACTCCATTATTAGGTCACATAGTAGCTTCATATTTGATGCTGTATAGCTTGCCCATTCTTTTCGCCATTCCTCGGCGCTATCAAACCCTAAACTTATCAGTGTTCTGGCGTACACAACAGGTGGGCTCCTGGATTTTAATCGTTGATTGGGTGTTTGAAGCATCATCTGGTATAAAAGTGAACTCTTGTAATCTACAGATTTCTTAATGGTTTTTACAAGTGCATCTTTCCAACGAATGTGTGGTGGTTTAATATTTGCCAGTGCCGGTAGCCATTGCAGTGGTGTAGATTTAACTGTCCCGCTTATTACTCTCATTACGCTATTGAGCTACGTATCTATTCTGCTTACATGTGTGCTATTACACCAAACTTGGGACCCATACTTTGCTGTTCTATAAACTAGGCTTAATGCTACTACCCGTAAGGTCTTAGCATCGGCACCCCAGCCTGTTCCAGCAAGCATTTGTACCAGGTTAACCCGGGACCTGATCTTTTTACTGAGGATACTTAAATGCTCATTAAATGTAAGCGAGCGGTCTAGCGCTATACCCAAATATTTATAGTCTGTCCCAGGAGAGAACGGTCCGCTCTCCGACCAAATCGAAGCGCTACTGCGCATCCCCACGCCGCAACACTATCCATTTATTCCCTCCCGGATCTATCGACAGGTTTTGTACACTGCGTTTCAAATAATGCACTGTTGTCTGTCGATAGTCTACTGTTTATCGCCAATATGACAAAAATGATAAATTGTAATTTTAACGAATAAAAAATTAAATGTTTTAATATAATTATTTATTATTTATTAAATATATATCTCTGTATTATACCTACTNTAACCCGGGACCTGATCTTTTTACTGAGGGTACTTAAATACTCATTAAATGTAAGCGAGCGGTCTAGCGCTATACCCAAATATTTAGGCATATAATTATGCTTTACACTTATACCGTCAAATTCAACCTCAAGTTTGTCATGCGCTTGTCTGTTGTTTAGATGAAATGCACAAACCTCTGTTTTAATAGGGTTTGGCTTTAGGCGCCAATTGCGGAAGTATGTTTTCATTAACTCTAAATCTTTGGTTAAGATTGCACTGCCGTCTTTTAAATCTTTACATTGGAACGCTATTGCTATGTCATCCGCAAATTGGAACTTAAGCCCTTCTGTCACTGGGATATCGTACATGTAAAGGTTAAACAATGTTGGGGCAAGGACTGAACCTTGAGGGAGCCATTATTCACTGTCCTCCATCTGCTCCCTTTATTACCTAAGTAAACTTGGAAACGTCGATTTGCAAGGATTCCTTCTAGGAACCCCATTAACTTACTGCAATTGATAACCTTACTAAACTTGTACAGTAATCCATGTCTCCAGACCGTGTCATACGCAGCAGAGAAGTCAATGAAGGCTACGCTGGTTTTTAACTTCTTCTGAAAGCCGGCTTCAATTAGTGTTGTTAAGGCGAGGACCTGTTCTTCGCAACTTCTGTTGTTTCTGAAGCCCGCTTGCTCTACCGGAATAATCTCGTCAATATGAGGCTGTATTCTCTCCAGGATGAATCTCTCCAAGATCTTGTATGGGATGCTTAGCAACAAGATTGGGCGGTAGTCTACAGCCTCGGTTCCAGACTTTCCCGGTTTTAGAAGTGCGATAACTTTAGCCCTTTTGAACTGTTTTAAAATGTTTGTTGTGTCTAGGTAGCCACTCCTGTACTCTGGGACCAGCGTGTTTAATGAATTCGGGGTATATCCCATCAAAACCAGCTGCCTTATTTAATTTGGTTTGCTTAAGGCTTTATTAACCTCATCGAGCGTGAAGGGTGCACCAAACATTGTATGTTGTTGAAGTTTTTTCTTTTGACGTCTGAGCTTTGCTTTTATGGTCCTACTGTGAACCTTGCATGATTGCGTTTTGCCCATCTCTATAATTCTCGATGCCACCTCATTTGGCTCAGAATTTCTTGTTTCTTCTTGCTATGGCTGTGGTCTCCTAGTCTTTTCATCAGGCTCCACGCTTTATGACTCGAGTGAGTAAAGTCTAATTCCGCAGAGTTTCACTCCATCTCTGTTTCCTTATAGCATTTAGTCTACCAATAAGATCATCTGCTATTGTGCTGTTATTATTTTTCTAAAAGTTTTCAAATAATTTTGTACAGTCTTCATCCCAGCCAGATATGTAAAGTTTCCTAAAGCCCCTAGGGATGTGTTTACTCGCTACCGATTTGATAGCTCCCACAAATCGATCGTAAGAGCTAGCTTTAGGCGGGATCCAAGAGATTATATGGTCTAGTTCGTTTCCATTATCGATCCAGTTAGTCTTCATAAAATTCCAACGTGGTTTAGGTAAGGATCGTATCAATGGGATCTGTAGTCCGTAGTTCAGCAATATCGGACGGTGCTGATTATGTGGGAAATTTCCCAGGATGTGTCTCGTTACCATAGTGTTGTAGCTTAATGAGGTCCTAGAAGCTATGCTTAAGTCCGGAGTATAGTCTTTTAATCACCTTGCTGACCGGAAAGTACCCCTATCTTTGGCGTTATACGAGGTCTAATCAAAAATTATCGAGACTGATAAGATAAATCATAAACCGGTTTGTGTATGAACTTGCACGTGCTATATTAATCAAACTTTATATGTTGGGAAAATATATTAGGCATAGATTAGATTAAAATTGTCTCAGTCGGCTTCTAGGTGCGATTAAGTAAAGTGTGTTTTTACGTCCTGTCGGATTTCATTATGAGCGAAAATATTGAACAACGAGTGTGCATTAAATTTTGCCATAAACTGGGATAAACGGCTACTGAAACCTACCAAATGTTATTGTTAGATTATGGAGATTAAACCATGTCCCGTACTCGCGTTTTTGAGTGGTTCAAACGATTTAAAGAGGGTAGAACAACTGTTGAAAGTGAAAAACGTGAAGGACGCCCGTCAACAAGCCGCAATGAGGAAATGGTTCAAAAAATACGAACAGCAATACGAGGTAACCGTCGTTTGACAATTATGGAACTTAGTAATGAGTTTCAAATCTCATTCGGATCAATTCAAACCATATTGACGACTGATTTAGATATGAGAAGAGTTGCTGCCAAATTTGTTCCAAAACTGCTCTCAGATGAGCAAAAAGAAAACCGAAAACAGATCGCCACTGATTTGCTAGAGTATTCCGAATCTGATGAATTTTTTTTAAAATCAATTATAACTGGTGACGAGACTTGGGTATATGGCTACGATCCAGAAACAAAGGTACAATCTTCGCAGTGGAAGACACCTGATTCACCACGACCCAAAAAAGCTCGTCAAGTTCAGAGTCAAGTGAAGGTTATGTTGACTGTTTTTTCGACTACCAAGGTGTTGTTCATCATGAGTATGCTCCAAAAGGACAGACCATAACAAAGGAGTACTACATTGATGTTCTTCGCCGTTTACGAGATGCTGTATGAAGAAAAAGACCTGAGTTTAAAGAGTCTGGTAGTTGGAAATTGCATCACGATAATGCACCAGCCCATTCAGCCCATATTGTGCAGCAGTTTTTGGCCAAACATGATGTCTCAGTTGTTTCTCAACCACCCNATTCACCAGACCTAGCTCCATGTGATTTTTTTTTATACCGAAAGATAAAAATAGCACTTAAGGGTAAACGTTTTCAAGATGTAGATGAAATAAAACAAAATGCGACGGAGCAGCTGCGAGGAGTTTCTAAAAATGACTTCCAGAGGTGTTTTCAAAAATGGCAGGAACGTTGGAGAACATGTATAAACTCAAAAGGAGCATATTTTGAAGGAGATTGAATGTAAATATCTTTATCTAATAAATATGTATATTTTTTATTAACAGTTTCGATACTTTTTGATTAGACCTCGTATATGAGTTACATGTTGTGTAGGACCATCCATTCCTGAAGTTTGTTTCCATTAGCATCATTTTCGTCGTACCCCCATTCCAGACTATGACTGTGACCTAACACCCAATGGAAGTCCCCCACAATTAAAACATTCGATCACCCTGCCTTATACGTAGGCGATTTTAACAAAAACTATAATAATCCAATATAACCATTTAGTCCGTAATCCGGGTTTTCACATATCTTATTAATTAAATACAATGTTTTTTTATTACTATAACATAATAAAATTCCACAACTAGAATGACTGAAAAAAACAATAAAAAAGCAAAAAAAGCATTTACACAAAAAAAAACAAAAAAAAATTTTGTTTATTTAGAATCAGAATGACGTGAAACGAATTTATGTATAAAAATAAGATTTCTATCTTATATATATAAAAAGAAGCATTTAATTTAAAATTCGAGTCCTAGTAATTACCATAATATGACAATATGACATAAATATATAACGTTGACAAAGCAACACTATCAACCGAGTCAACACTATTCGCTCAGTATCGTTTTTTCGTTATTCATAGTTAATCGTTGATTACATATGTACATTGAATTACTTATAACTACAGTACTAAGCTACTTACAGTAGCCGCACTCATCCTCATTATCCTAGGATAATTTTTTACATTGTGTAAAACAATTTTAGATTCTGAGTGGAGCAAAGAAACTTATGGTTTTACAAAGATGTTTATTTATTTAGTTATTTTTATGTAGAAAACTTTTTATTAGAGATTTTGCTCCAATTTTTAAGTATAGCACTTTTTCTGAAAGGAAATCGGTATGTGGAGATACTTTAAGGAAGTCATTTTTCTCCGAAAAGTTTTTTCATCAAATGTGAAAAACCGGATAATGGATAAAAAAAAAAACTGAGGAAAAAAAGTAAAATGTAAGAAATGTAGGTCTTAGTTAAACATATTATGGCCTTCTTTTTCCTGTGACAACTTTTCTACCAGTAATTTTGCTTCAATTTATGATAGAAATCTGTCTAAATGAAATTCGACTATAGAGGTACCTTAGAGAGGTTTTTTTGATTTTCTTAGAAGTTTTTTCAGCTCATGTGCAAAACCAAGAAAAGACATGGAATAAAAGGGAAATTTGGTATATTAAACAAATATTATTTAAGATATATTAATATATAATGCCTATTTAATTATTTTATCATAATATGATACATATATATTGTTGGCAAAGTATCACTATAAACTCAACTCAACTCAGAATCGTTTTTTCGTTAATAATGGCTTATTGTTGCTTACAGGTATACATTAAATTACATTTAAAAATCCTTACTAATACCTAATAACCTAATAACTTTCATCTTTACAGGTAAATTAATATTTCTGAGGGGCAGAAAGACGTTGAAAAAGAGGAGGGATAGGCATTGTTGAATAAGTTGTTAAGAAGAGGAAAAGGCAGAGATAGTTAGTTACTTTACCATTAGTCCAGTCAAATCAGCAGAAAGACCAAAACTAATTCCTAGAAATTTAAATTTTAGTACATAAATAATTTATACTTTAAAACCTTATAAACATACTAAAAGACCCGACACCTATTTTATATGAATAACTCTCCTTCTTTTTTAAATAGGACATGAGCTCCTGTTTCACTGGTTTCGCTTATTACTCGATAATGGTTATAGCAAGGTACAATTAAAATGCATGTAATTAGAATCAAAGACCACACAATTTAATATTATTTTATGTCTATACTCGTTTATTTACTATTTAACGTTCCACTACTTGTTTGCAATATAGAATGTATAAAAATAATTGTTTATAAATAATAAGGGTTTAGAACATATTATTACAAATAAAAAGGTGTATTTTATTTTTTATTACATTTTACAAATACATAATATTATATGAATTATATGTAGACTTGACATTAAATAGTTTACAATATATAGTTGAGAATTATATTTATTATTAAAAGAAGTTATGATTTTACAGATACAATAAATATTTGACTATAGGAGTACTTAAATCGGTGCAGATTATATTACTCACGTTGCCGTCCTCAGATAGGTGTGAATGAGGTTATGGAGTACCAAGATCGGGGTAGAATGTGTAGCTCTCGTGGCCGCCCTCGAATAAATAATAATATAATTAAGGGGTACCAAGACCGGTGTGGAATGAATGATATATATATATATATATATATATATATATATATACAGAGAGAGAGAAAGATTGCCCTAGGGCATGGCAGTTGTGCAGAGATTTACTATAGATAAATACAAATGAAAAACTCACCAATGATCGCTTGTGAAGTGTTCTTTCTTTGGCCGATGTGATGTGAGGGATAGAAAGTTCTGATGTCTATCGGCTTTAAAGTGAGCTTTTTAATTGGCCGATGTGGAAGGCGAGGTGCGTTGGCTTATGATTTTACTGTAGTGATATGTGATCAGTATATAAAAGATTTCAGTTACATCATACAATTATTTATATGATGACTCACTTCTTATATCACCTATTATCCGTTTATTTCATTCTATTGAATAGAACAGGCTGAGGCCCAGAGTACAGTATTTAGAAGTTTAGTTATTATTTATAAGTCAGTTTATATTTTTAAATATTTTATAATATTAAAATATTAAATATGCAGAAATATGGACAGGTAGATCAAAGGTTTACAAGACGGGTCATGGCATTTACCTAGAAATTTAATTGGAAGTCACATTTAACTTAGTAGTATAATATATTTTACAAAATGGCTATTTTGATCATTCTGTAATATGAAAAACAAATTTTTTTTTTTTGGAAATTATGTGATGAAAATAAAAAAAATAATTTTTTTCTAAAAAGATCCTCATAGAAAAACATGTAGCGTTTTACTTTTTCGTTGTTATTCTGTAAAGTAAAATAATCGCAGCTACTCTTATTTGTTTGTGAAAAGAAATAAATCCTAACATAAATTACGTTAAACAAAATATAAATTATATGAAATGCTTTATTTTAGAATAAATTGATTTTCAATTCAAATGTTACAAATTATGGGTTCACAATTTTATTAAAATCAGTATTTTGGTAAAAACACTATTCATATATATAATCAATATATCTTCCTTAATAATGTTTGTTTAATATTATACCAATTTTCCCGTTTTTCCTAAGTTTTTCCCGGGTTTCCATGTTTTTTCCCGATTTTACACATTTTCTTGAAAAACTCTTGAAGAAATTGAAAAATGATACCTCCCTAAAGTACTACCAAAATAAAATTTCCTGTTTCTTGCGTCTAAATCGTATATTTCAGAGTAAGATTTTTGGAAGAAAGTGTTCACACAAAAAAAAAAAATAAATAAATAAACATCTTCGTAAAACCCTAATGTATTCTTCACTACACTTAGAATCTAAAAAAAATTGGAGTAACGACAACAATAAATTTAAAATATTTTACGAGCACACAACTGACGGTAGTCACAATTCACGTGAAAAGTTTCTGACAACTGCACACTTCACATAGACGTTTGTTTTCTACTCTTACGTTATTTCGGTACTGCCAACTCAATATTCGCTTATTGTTACAGATTAAAAAAAAAATACATATTGAATATTATCAGCTTTTGAAAAATCCGTTTAACATGGTAGGAAACATTGTAAGGTCTTAGTAATACATGAATACTTTTTAAAAGCATTTAAGAGACTGTGCTACTTATCGTATTTAAGGGGTTCCGTGTTGATAATTTTCTTATCATTTTTGAAAAAATAAAAATTTTTCCACTCCAAATTATTCAAAAACATTTATAAAACTATAGTTCCATGTCACTATCATAACTAATCACAAGTTGTTAAATCTTGAAATTTATAAACATGTTTACGAAAAAACCGTTTTGCTTGAGTAAAAACTACTCGAATCAAGAAACAAATTTTTCAATATAAACAATTTTACTGTGGTTTTAGTTTTTCAAAATCACTATAAAAATAAGTTATTGAAGTTTTAAAAACTTAAAATAATCAGATTTTCAAACAAAATAAATTAGTTTGTGTTTGTAATATAAAAAATAAAAAAGATATGTTGCACACTGCGAATTTAAATTTTTTTCATATTAGAAATTTAATTCTTTAATTGAGTAATTGAGTCCATAGCCCGAGTAATTTTTAACTGCACAAAACAGTAGCATGTGATTTTACCGTGTACTTAACTGCACCTATATTATAATCCTATAAATACAGAATTTTTATGGATCGTTCAGACCTACTGATCGGTGGGTTCCGGATATTGTCCATTCATTGAATGAAAATCAATTGGAATACATGACTGAACTGAGAGAAAAGTTGGTATATACAAACGCAAATCGTTTAGTATTTGGAATAGGCAAACCGAGGTTATCAATAAAAATAGATGCAGCCACGCAAACAAATGAACAAGATGATGCACAATTTGTGGGTAAGGATTTTGTTGAAATTTTATAATTATAATAATTATATGATCTACTTAGCTATAAACGAAATGTTTAAAATAGGTTTTTATTCGGATTTGGGCTTCACTGCAGTTCATAAACTTAGATCATTTTATAGTAATATTTTCATTTATTTTTGCTTAATAAAGATCATTGTTATTCTTCGCCATAACACCTCTCTACCGGTTTCTGTCCTTAATCATCTCTTATCTCTTATGAATTCCTATATTATGATGAGGTCATTTTGAACTATACTCACCATAGCTTTGAGTGGACTAGCGGCCATTGACTCTCCACTGTCCATTGTGTAACTCGTGTGATATTCTGTTAACCTCACTTTTTCTATTATATCAAATTAATATATGTATGGTGGGAGTTAGGAAGAAGAACAGATATAAATAAATATAATACATTTTAATCAGGTTTACTAGGTTATCTTAAAGCAGTTAAATCAGGTAATCTTGAAACTTTAAAATCCCACTATTCAATAATTTATGTATACATTAATATATCCATATCATATACTTAAATATTACCAAACGTGTTATCATTGTATTATCATTTTCTTAACTGAATGAATTGGGTGAACTTTTCTCTTACATCAGTTCATGATAGAAATTATTTAAATTATTTAGCATTATATGGTTAGTTATTTCATGTCAAGGAAGATGTCATGTCATCATACAAATGAAAATAAAAATTTGACAAGCTACAGATTATGGTTATTTGTACATCATCGCCACAATGCTTTATTAATTAAACTTATGTAGGTTAAGTAAATAAACACTTACCTATCATAATAATGATAAGAGTGTTATGTATACAAAATATATAGTTTATGCCAGGATGGAGAAAATAGGACTTTTCGGTCCTGCCATTTCAGCGCTACCGTTTAGACCAGCGGTTCCCCACCTGTGCACCGCGTGCTCATTTCAGGGGCACCACGGCTCACCCGAGTATGAAAAAAATTATTAAATTATATATTAAAAATGTACAATTTATTGTAGTTAAAAAGACAAAAAAATGTTTAACGTAAAAAATTATTTAGCACACTCTGTATATGTAATACAGTGTTCTAATCTGTATCGATTAATACATAAATAACACACGCCGCACAAATGCAGATAACATTATACACGTATGACTTCCTCGAATTGGCGACGTTCAATTTTATCTGAACACTCGTATTATTATTATGGTAACTATTATTATAGTTTAAATTCTAAGAATTAATTTTTTCTATACATACATATGTGGTAATTTATTTTGTATAATATGTATAATATTTTATTTATTTTGTATTATATACCTATAATATTGTTTGTAAATAATTTCGTCGCGAGTACCTGTCCGTCGTCCGTCCGGTCAGATAACGATAGTAATTGACAATTGCTGATAAAACGCGGGCCCGGACAACCGGCGGGGTTTTCGCACGAACTTATAGTTTAGTATTGTCACAACCTCTGACCGTGGTCGTATGTTTGCCGACGACTCATTATTACCGTATTACCACTTTTGTATGCGCTTTTCCGTGACCCGTGGAATAAACGAATTTGTTGATACCTCTATTTTTTTTTTCGTTTGTGTACTTTATTATCTTTTCACGCTCCGGATCAAGAGCAAATAACCCTGTATTTGTCTTGCTCCACACATGCGTTTGTTTTTTTTCAAGATGGGACCATTGGTTGAATAGTGGGTCTATTAATAAGACGCCTGCTACAGTCATATTGTTCTATAAAGGAAGGAAGCATAATCGACGAAGATGGAGTTTATAATAATAGTCCTACTTCTCAAGGTACGAGTGATACACTACTGCCAAGTACGGGTTACTTCATAAAGTTCATAGGCTTCCTAAACTCTGTGTCGAGAACGTCCAAAAAACGTAAATACGATGGAAGTTATTTGGAGATGGAGTTCATAGAAACAAACGATGGTCAGCCACAGTGCGTAATTTGTTCAAAAGTTTTTCCTAAAAGCTCTATGTATCCCGGCAAATTGCGTCGTCATTATGAAAAAGTCCATCCAGATCATGAAGGGAAACCAATCGATTTTTTCAAACGAAAGCGCTCTAAACTATTGGCTATTAAAAAAAAAATCAAAACGCACGTTCAAACCGAAATTAAAATGTATAAAGCAATCTACAACAATGCATTTGAACATAACACGAAGGTATAGAATATGTTTTCATAACTCATGTTAATTAATAAATTATTGATTTTTAAATAAACACGTTAGTTTATAACACAATATGAAAAAACTGAATTGTATATTTTAAGGTATATGAATAATCAATTTAATAATAATTTATTCATCAATTCATTTATTTTTGGATCCCAGAAACTTTCATAAAATTAAACAGCCTGAATCCATGTTTACTGAAATATCTTTGGTCAAAATTGCAAGAATGGCTCGATGTGAAATTTTGGTAGTGTATTGTAAACTGCTAGAATTTACAAAGAATTATGATGCAATTGCAGAAGTATGTCTGGCAAGTAATAACCAGGGCAATACATTCAAAGATGAAATAATTAGAGACGAAGATACAGAAAACAAAGAACTGAAATATACAGTAGTTGGGATGAAGTGTAAATCGTGCATTTCATACGCAATTTGAGTTTGTATACTCATTAGTGACCTATACATCTGATTATAATGAGTTATATGAGACCTGTAAGCTGGTAGTTACTTTGGCATTCACGCAAGTAACTTGTGAAAAAATATTTCAATAATGAAAAATATTGAAACTCTATTAAGATCATCGCTGTCTAATGACAAATTGGAAGTATTTTATGTTAATGTCATTTGAACGTATTATGGAAATACCATATAACGTAATTATTGATCGCTTGACTGCCACTTCAACCGAAATGAAAAGGCTTTTGATAAGATAATATCTAATATGATATTCAGTGTTTTTTAAAATTGCGAGAAAAGCCCAATTATTCGTTGATATTTATTAATTTTAAATGTTCTTTTTAATCATAATTAAACATATTATATAAAGCAGTATCATGTAATATTTGGCTAAATTATTAAAATTTACTATTTCAGTTACTTTTCCCTTTATATTAGGGTCCTGGTAATCTTGGTTTAACCCGCTTATCCCTGTATTATACACCTCGTCCCATTTCATATCCTCAAGTAAAAAAATTGTCGACTGGCCTCATACATAGCCAGTCGGCCCCTAATAGATCGTTGAGTGCTCATCACGTACAATTTTAGCCTCATATTAAGAATTTTATCTTTTCATCGAATCCTTCAAAATAATGAAACGTTACGAAAAATAATAAGGACAAAACGGAAAAATGAAAATTCAGCTTCAGCAACACATGTGAATTTAAAAACTGCATTTAACCTAAATATACCAAACTTACTAGCCAAATGATGGAATAAGCGAACAGTTTTTTTTTGTAGATAGTGGATAGAAATCAGATAGCGTCCTAATATTTGGCCATCCTTATGGACTAAACATATTAAAAAATTCCCGAACCAGGTACTGTGACGGTACTTTTAGAATCGCTCCATTATTTTTTTCTCAAGCTCATGCTATTTGAGCGGAAGCATTAGGAGGTGTACACTTTATAATTTATGAACGACGGAAAAATGATTCAATATGTTAAAAACGCTTAAATCCAGATTCAATTGCTTTGCAATTTCGAACTTGCTGTATTAAAACTTCCGATCGAATTAGGTGAGCTACATTTTTTTTTTTTATTAGCTTTTATTAAGAAACATAGCTCAACGTTTACAATACATTAAAATATTAATAAACTAATATAAAAAACAAATAGAATAATAAAGTGATATTAGTAATATAAACAAACAATATAAAATTAAAGTACATAAATAAAAACAATTTCAGATGATAAAACCAGCCTCCTGAATAAAAGAGATAATTTCTTACTAATGTTTTTTTTAAATTTCCCCATCTGTTTATTGATGCTGAAACTAGTACATAAATCCTTTCAAAAAATAATTGAGCCACAGAAGAATTCTAGAATTCTTCCTTCAGCGTCCTTGAGACAAAGGTTAAGGCTATGTGCTACATATGGGACAAAAAATGCAAGAGGATATTGTTTTAAAATATGAGCTTGCACACCTTTATAGAGACTTGCCATATTTGCACCGTTATCATAAGCCTGACTTCGACAGTTAGTTATGCTAAGACCGTACTCTTTCAGTTTTTCTATCTAAATATTTGATAAATCCATTCCAGTAGTTGAGCTTACACGTATAAAACCCATGAAATATTCTTTAATTTCGGAAACGGTAGATTCATTTTCTAAATCTATCTGGAAAATTCGTATTATTATAGAAAGTTGTTCATAGTGGCTAATATCTGGTGTCCAAAATGACAGAAAAATATGTTGAACTTTTTATCAACTTTTTATTTTAATTTTTACCTCTTGCGTCATCATGGAAATCAACGAGTTTTGATTATTATTTCGAAGTTAATGGACATGTGTTTCGTTGTCTTTAATATGACGTACATGTTCAGAGATAACCGGATCAAATTTCGTCTACATTTCTATAATGCCTTTTACCATTATTTTTCCCATATAAGATATCCGAACATCCTACGAAAGCATCATTATTTTTAGCTAAATACTGTATTGCAACAAGAACTCTCAGTAAGACATTACGCCAATGGACTTTTCCTTTTTCGACCATTCCGATATGCTCATTATCAATTGTATTACATTTACTGACTCTAGCTTTAAGTTTAAACCAAACTTACGTACTTACGTAATAATTGTTCGCTTGTCGAAACTATACCGTTGCCAGTACTCGTGGTGCTCGTGTATGAAGAAAATAAAAATAACAGTAATCTTCCGTATTCTTCTTTTTCTGGCTTTTACGACTCTCTAAGATTCTTAGCCGCCAATACAGCATCGCGCCACCTATCTCTGTCAAGCACCATTTCCCTCCATGCGACTATTCCCATTTTCCTTAGATTTTCTTTGACAACATCGATCCATCTTTTCCTGGGTCTTCCCCGGGGTCTCTTCCTTGTGGTTTCCATTCTAGTACTAGTTTAGTAGTATCGCATTCCCCCCTTTTCATGATGTGTCCAAGCCACTGTATTCTTTGCCCTTTGATGAAACTGGTTACTGGTGGAATGTTAACCATGTCTAGCAGTTCCCTGTTGTACCTTCATCTCCAATTACCTATTAATTCATCAGATGGGACCGCAAATTCTTCTCCAAATTTTGTTCTCGAAAGTCCTAAGCCTTCTTTTAGTTAGCTTAGTTGTTGTCCACGCTTCTCAACCGTTTGTGAAGGTTGGTCTAACTATCGCCGTGTACAATCTAACTTTGGTTTTTCTAGAGAGGCATTTCTAATCTTCCGTATGCTATTGTAAAATACTATATATACAAATTATAAAAGAAGTAACACAACGACGGTAATAATAATCGTTATCGTCGTCGGCGACCCACGTATCACTACAACAAAGACAAACAAAAATAGAAAAAAAATGATAATAATATTCGAAATAATCTAATGAAGAGATTATGTGTAGTATTCGGTTGAATCCCAATTCGTTAAATTTAAAAATAACTCGTTTGATATAGATGTCGGTAAAAGAAATAATAATATGCATTATGTATAAACCTCACAGTTCTTCTTCTTATCGTGTCCGGTGGTTAAACTGTCTTTAAAATAGGTAAAATATGGATGTAAATGTGTTAAATATTTTGCTTCATCCAGTGGATGGCTATTGATATAGCATTTTCGTTGGCTAACGCCAAATCGTCAGTTGTGCATCCTGGTGGGACAAGGGAGCATTTCATTAGGTGTTCATCAGATTGNCTACTCCGGCTCTTAGCCTGTTTATTGTTTTCCATAAAGGCCATGGTAGGTTTCCACCTGGTGGTAGTCGTTCATCAGGTAGGACAGGTGATTTAGCTCGTAGCTTTCTCCATTTGCGTATTCGAAGTTGGTCGGGAGGCTCTTGGATCGCATTTGTGCTAGCGATAAAACTTCTTGATTTAAGTCTTCTTTGGGGCTCTAAATAACCATACATGGGATGCCTTTGGTCGATAGTTTGTTTTGTCCTTTTTATACATGTGGCCACATATCTCCGTATTTCTGGTGGAGCAATTCCCGCTAATGGATATATATATATATATTTTAATGGCGTAGCTTTGAGACATCCAGTTATCAGCCTACAGGTTTCATTCAATGCCGTATCAACGTGTTTAGTATGTTTGGACTGGTTCCACACTGGGCAAGCATACTCGCCACTAGAGAAGCATAGTGCCAGTCCTGTAGTGCGAATTGTGTTTGGTGTGGCACCCCATTTACTACCTGCTAGTTTCTGTAGGAAGTTATTCCTTGTTTGGACTTTCATTTTTGTTTTTCTACACTGCTCCTTAAATGTGAGGGACTGGTTCAATGTAACTCCTAGGTAAACTGGCTGTTCTGTGTTTTTTAATATTTTTCCAAGCCACTCAACTTTTAATTCCCTTTTTGCCTCACGATTTCGGAGGTGGAAACAACATATTTGAGTCTTATCCGGGTTTGGTGTTGGTTTCTTGCATAATACGTTGTTAGTTCTTGGAGAGTTTTTGTGAGCTTTCGTTCGACTTCTTGGAATATTATGTACTGTGCTGCTATGGCCAAGTCGTCTGCGTTTAGAAAGTGCCTTGTTTCTTCTATGATTGGTTGGTCATTTGTGTATATATTAAATAGCATGGGTGCCAGTACGCTACCCTGTGGTAGGCCATTTCGCTGATTTCTTCATCTGTTCCATTTATTGTTTAGCGTGACTGTAAACCGTCGATTGTGTAGCATAGAAGATATTATTTGTACAAGGTGCCAGTCATTTGTGCATTTATATATCTTTTTTACTCTATATGATGGGCCCAAGTTAGTCTTTTATCTAATGTAAGACCAAAGTATTTAACTGAAGGAGAGGATGGGATTGGATCACCGTACAGAGTTACCTCAGGGGTAAGAGCTGGTCTAAGCGTAAAGGTGGTGTGTATAGACTTGCTATGGTTTAATTTAAATCTCCATTTGGTATACCAATTCTCCATAAGGTCTAGGTGAGTTTGAAGGTTTACGGAAGCTATGAATGGATTGTCATTCATAGATAAAAAGACTTTCACTGAACAACCGCTTTCATATCCTCAAACCTCTAGTCTCTAATAAACACACATTCCTTCATCTCAAACTCCTCATCTACAAAACACTACTGAAACCAATCTGGACGTACGGGATACAGCTATGGGGAAGTGTAAAAAAGACAAATTTAAATAAAATTCAATGTTTTCAAAACATTGCGCTAAGGAAATTAATAAATGCTCTCCCATACATATCTAACCATACTCTACATACAGTCCTAAAATTAAAAACTATCCACGAGGAAGCCAAACACTTTTACAAAAGATTACACAACCGTCTTTCCTCCCACTCAAATCCTTTAATTAAAAACATTTCCTCCCTTTCAATCCCCGGCAGCCCTCCTAGACGTTTAAAACACAAATGGTGTTACCTGTTACAAATTTCAATATAGAAATAAAAAAAAAAAAAATTAATTAAAAAAACTAATTAAATATTATATAATTCATTTACATTTCTATATAACTATCAACATTAAAGTGTCATCATTGGGTGGCTTCTTTACTCACTTTTTGTATTTTGTATACTCATGTTATCTGTACCTTATCATATATGCTTATTATGTCATTTGATATAGATTGTATATTTCGACTCAAAATAAAAAAAAAAAAATATATATATCTTTTTTAGTAGTAGGTTGTGATTCACCGTGCCATACGCTGCAGATAAGTCTACAAGAACGACTCCTGTTACCTTTTTGTTCTCATAGCCATCTTCAATATGTTGGCATAAGTTTAGTACTTGTCCTGTGCAGGACTTATCAGGCCTAAAACCAGCTTGTTCGGTGATGAGTTTTCTTTCAAATTGTTCTTTTATACAATTAATAATCATTCGTTCATACAATTTGAACGTATGGCAAAGTAGAGATATAGGTCTATAGCTTTTAGGGTCCTTGTAATCTTTGCCTGGTTTGGGCAGGGCCACTACCTTTGCCTTTCTCCATGTTTTTGGTACCAAGGCATTTTCGCGACAGGAGTTTAGGAAATTTAACAGCCATTGTTTTGTTTTTGTGTCGAAATGTTTTATCTGTTCTGTCATGTCATCAGGCCCTGGTGCTTTTCATCTCTTTTAGGCTCACGTGTAATTCGTGAATAGTAAAATCAAGTCGGAAGCTATTTTTCTCATTTTCTCGATCTCTGATGAGTTTTTCTTTTTTATTTATGATTTCTGATTTTCCAGATTTTCCGTTTAGGAGTAATTGTGTAGCTACGTGATTTGCTGTTACATTTATATCATTCATGTGTGTAACGGGATCTCCATTAAGCTTCTTTATCAATCGCCATGCTTTTTTGCTATTTTTCGTCATATCTGTGTTTTCTATAAGTTCGTGCCATCTGTCATTTCTATCTTTGCATAAAAGCTTTGTTAACGTTTCTCCTTTCATAATTTTTTCTTCACTAAATGGATATGTGGTAAAAGAGTTTTCATATTCCTTCTTTATCTTACTGGTTTCTTCCGTCATTCCACATACATACCGTTCCCTGCAACCTCGTGGTATGTGTAATCTAGAGATCTTTTTCACTTTTTCTACAAATAATTCATAATTTTTTGGATTTGGGTCTAGATTCCATACTTCCTTATCTACCGTTTCTCTAAATTTTTCCCACTTCTCTTTTCTGAAGTTGAACCGTCTTTTAAATGATACTGTTTGTAATCTCACTACTTCTGTGACACTTACCATTAGGGCTCGGTGTTGAGTGTTTGGTATGGGATCGCATACGTTTTTTACGGCTTGAGTGTTAATTTTGTCACTGATAAAAATTAAATCTGGATTGTAGCCCTTTCTCCATCGGCCGCTATTGAAAGACGGGGAAAGTTTTGGGTCATGAATCAGATACAACCTCTCAGCTTCAGCCCAGTTTTCCACATTTTTTCCATTTTGGTCATTTTCTAGGTATTCCCATATGATATTATGGCTGTTGAAATCACCAAGAACTATTTTTGTACCACAATTTTCGAAATGAATTGGTTTTTCGAAGGTGAAGTCTATGTTCGGTGGTTTATACACCGAGGTAACTGTACAATTCCACACCTATACTGTTAGTATTTCGATCTGATTGTTGTGACTAGTAGATGCGCTTTTAATCACTAGTCCTGGTTTGGAGTATATTGCACTTCCGTATTTTGAGTGTGGTAACTCGATGGCAATATTCATTCCCGGTACTTTTGGACGAGGGCTAACCTCATCCCGGTGCGTCTCTTGAACACATAGAACGTCGCATTTCTCTTTTTCACAAAGATGTGCAAGAAGTTCACCTTTGGTTACTGAGAAACCCTCTATGTTTTGTGTAATTACTTTAATTGCAAGTCCCTGTTCAGCACATCCAGGAGAGTTCTCATACTATGCAGATATTCTATGTTATGTTAAATAACATATAATGTTCTATATTGTCAATTTTATATTACATATGTCGTAGTCTAGTAGTGCTACCTACCTATTGTTATCCTGGAGATCACGAGTTTAAACTCGTGTTCTGTAATTGCATTTGTTTTTCTCATTTTATCTAAACAAGGGGAAAAAGGCATTTTAAGTGTCTAAATCATCACTTGCTCGAACTACTTTAATCGAAAATTACCCCTTGATTTGTTGAAAAAACTTTTACATCAGAAATCTTGCTCCAGTGTGTCAAGTATAGCTCATTTTCTGAAAGTAAATTCATCTAAATGGTACTTTAGGGAGGTCATTTTTTGATTTTTCAAGTGGTTTTCATGATATCTGAAAAAAACTTCTTTAAAATGTCGGAAAACGGAAAATTTACGAAATTTAAGTCTTAGTAAAAACATATTATGGCTTTTTTTTCTGTGTAAAATTTTCCTACCAGTAATTTTGCTCTGATCTACAATGATAGCACTTTTTCTGAAAGGAAATGTGACTGTAGTGGTACTTTAAGTAGTTCATTTTTTGATTTTCTCATACATTTTCCCAATAAATGAAGAAAACCGGAAAAGAGCATAAAAAAAAGTGCAATGTTAAACAAACATTATGAAAGAAAATAAATAATACATATTATGTTAATATTTCGCGATAATGTGAGATAAATAATGTTGATAAAGCAATACTATTAACCGAACTCCGTTCAGAATCATTTTTCGTTAAAATGGTTAATTGTTGAGTATAAATATACATTAAATTTCTCCTCTACCTTCTAAATTTTTTCTAATTATAGTTGAGCATACATTTTTTTTTATTTTTAGTGTGAATAAATGGTTGTTCTTCTACATCAGCGTTTAATTATTGCTGATCGATGCGACCTCCAGGTTAAACGCTGCCTAAGATTATCGTCCGTCGAGTTTATTACTACTCTCAAAATGTTAGGTTGTTCAATCTTAAAAACTCCATATTCTTCATTTTTGTGCTACGATTTTGAGTATTTTTTCTTAATATTATAATATGAACTTTTTCTTCTTATAATATTACGTAGAAAATAATAAATAATACAAAAAAAAAAAACCTTTCCAGTCAGGAGCGTATAGAAAAAAATGTTTAGGTAGGGGAATAAGGCATACGATTTTAATTTAACTTAGTATAATATACGACGGATACAAATAATTAGCTTTATTTATAGTACTTCTGTAAAATGTTAAAAATGTTAAAAATGTTAAATTTAGGTGTTTAAACCTAAAATTAAAAATATATAAATAATTTGTGTTTTACTTAGATTACGTTATAGATGAAGCAATATCGAATAATCGAATGCAACATTTTTACTTGGAAGTATTGAATAACATTAATCAAACGATTCAAATAAGTCGAAGACACAATGAAAACGAAGTTATTGCATGGAATGGTACGGAAAGTTTACCCTACAGTGGAGTTTTGGAAAAATATGTTCAAACTGATTAGTTTTTTAAATAACTAGCTGAGAAACGGCAGATATTCAATGCATTATCAATTCTCTACCTTGTTGGGCTATGACAGTAGTTTAAGTGGTACATGTTAACTGTTGCGGAGGACTCAGAATTTATTAGTTAGACTAGTAAATAACGTGCCCGACAGTGGGTTTAAAATTACAATTCACTTTGTTGTAAATGAACTTAAATAATATAAAATTGATAATAGTATTTATAATATATAATTGTATATTTATTTTATGAATAGTAGAAGTCATATATTAATTCTATAATTCTATATATATATAATTTAGCAGTGTTCGTACAGTGATTTGAAATGCATTTGAAATATATTTATTTTATAAGTTAAGTAACCTTTAATTATAGTTACCCTGTACTTACCATTTTTGAATTTTAAGTCTATAAGAAATATTAAGTATACATTAAAAAAACTTAATGTACGCATGCAATGTCGACAGTCCATATGCAAATTTACCGTTACGTGTAATCACTAATTTTAAATTGTTAATTTTTTTCTGTGAAGTTTTATAAATGTAATACGACTGGATTCGAGTATTTCCAGTCATAGTTTTACATACTTTACCGTCGACCATGGTGTTGACTAATTTGTGATTCACATTAAAATGTTTTCTATAAAAACACTAACTTCACTCACATGTGAAAAACCGGGAAAATGTACGAAATGTAGGTATTAGTTGAAAAATATTTCGGCCTTTTTTGTTTTGAACAACTTTTCTCAAGTAATTTTACTTAGATTTACAATGATAGCACTTTTTCTCTAAGTAAATCTGACTGAAAAAGTACTCTAGAAATGTTATTTTTGGATTTTCTCAGAAGTTTTACAAACTAATAGGAAAAAAGGAAAAAAGGGAAAATCGATACCTTAAAAAAATATTATTAAAGAAGATGAATAATTAAATAAGCATTATATAACTATGATAAGACACATACATATTACATTGTTGACTAAGCATCACTATCAACTGAACTCAATTAAATTACCTATAACAGTGACTGCGCCTGTCACCAATATCCTAGGATGTCTTTTATATAATTATTTTTATATTCTTATCATTGTAGATCCTATCTGAAGTAATATAATGGTATATGAAAGGAGCGTGCATATTAATAGAACAGTTTCTTGGAAAGGAATATATTTTCTTTGTAGATATCATATATATGAGCTTGTATTGAGATGCGCTTTTGAAGGGTCTACTTCAGGTTCTACTCTTTTATTCTCTTTATATTATTATTCTCTTCTACTCTTTATGCGATTCCACTCTTCAAAAAATTTCAAGATAATTTGAATAAACTTGACACTGACAAATTCAACCCGGGTACAGATCCTTATGTAAATTTTTTTTTTTTTTTTTTTTTTTTTTTTTTTATTTAANGTACGTTTTAGACGCCTTCTGGGGTCACCAGGAATAGTGTTGGTAGATAGTTCGGTAATCAGGGGATTACGATGGCTGTGGAACTTGGAGTGTGTGCGTTTGTAGAAAGTTTTTGCAACGTTTTGAACTGTTGGAATAGCTAGATCTTTATGTAGAGTGTCGTTAGATACAAAGTAGGGAGCTTTGGTTATTTGGCGGAGACATTTAGATTGGAAGATTTGAATTTTATTTAAGTTGGACTTTTTGGCTGCCCCCCAGAGTTGGATACCGTATGTCCAGATTGGTTTGAGTAGGAGTTTGTATAATAGTAGCTTGTTTTTTAAGTTGAGATGTTGTGATGTGAGGAGATAACGTAATTGTCGAGAGCGATTATTTAAGGCAAGTCTTTTGTTGTGGGTGTGAGTTGCCCAAGTTAACCTGCGGTCTAAATGTAAACCTAGGTATCTAACATTTTGGGCGGTTGGGAGAGGTACATTGTTGAGGAAGATGGGCGGGCAGACTATTTGCCTTAGAGTGAACGTATAATGGATGGATTTTGTTTCATTAATTTTTATTCCCCAGTCTTTATACCAGGTTGATAAGAGATTGAGGTGATTTTGTACGAGGTTTGAGGCTATTTCGGGGTCGGAATGGATCGCTAGGAGCGCCTTGTCGTCAGCAAAATCACCAATTGTAGTGTTGGGGGTGGTAGGTTGATCTGAGGTGAATAAATTGAAGAGTAGAGGTGCTGTTACGGAACCTTGAGGTACCCCTGCGTGGATAGGTGATACTTCGGATAAGGAGAAGCCAGATCGAACGGAAAAATGTCTGTTTTCTAAATAGGATTTAAATAATAGGAAATAGTAGGGTGGAAGAATAGATTTGAGTTTGAAGAGTAGGCCTTCGTGCCAAACTCTGTCGAATGCCTGTGATACGTCGAGGAAGGCAGCTGTGCAAATAAGCTTTTTCTCAAGAGTGTACGATATTTTATCCACAAGACGATGGACTTGGTGTATTGTAGAGTGGTTATGACGAAATCCAAATTGGGTATTAGGTATATTGGCTTCAATGATAGGAAGGATGCGTTTTAGGATAATTCGTTCAAAAATTTTAGAAAATAGTGGAAGAAGACTAATGGGCCTGTATGATTCGGGAGAGTCGGGAGGTTTGCCAGGTTTGGGGATCATAATGATGATTGAGAATTTCCAAAGAACAGGGAAGTATGACAGTCTAAGTATAGAGTTGAAAATGTGTGTTAAGAGAAGTAAGGTTTTTTTGGGGAGTTGTGTAGCTACCTCAGCTGTGATTAGGTCATAGCCTGGGCTTTTGTGGCGAGGGGAGTTTTTTATCGCATATTCAACGTCGCTAGGTCGAATATGTTTAGGTGGGAGAGTCATGGGAAGAGGGTGAGAGAGAGAAAGGTTCACTTTTTCGATTTGAGAAGGAGTGAGAATATTGTTGTGGGGTTGGAAGGTAGAGTAGAGATGATGTCGAAATATGTTGGCTTTATCTAGGTCAGTGACAGCCCAAGTACCATCGGATTTTTTTAGTGGAGGAACAGATTGTTTTGTTCGAAGGATTTTCCTTGTTGTTTGCCAAAGCGAGTTGTCAGTAGACGAGAGGGAGACGAGACGTTTGGTGAAATTATCTGATCTAATAGAGGCTAAGAGTCTTTTAAGTTTATTTGTTAAATTGTTAAGTTTGCGTTTGTCCGAGGGATATTTGGTTCTCTGCCAAGTTGCACGCGCTCTCCGTTTGTCTGAGATTAGTATTCTTATATGTAGGGGAAGATTTATGGAGGAGTTTGTATTTGGCATTGGGGAGGAGGAGGACCAAGCAGCTTCTTGTATAGACTTGGTTAGGAGGTGTACGGCTTCATCGATATCGTTTGGAGATTTTAAGCTGATTTTGAGGTTACATTGATTATCAAGGGAAGATTTGAATTTTAGCCAGTCCATTTGGCCTAGGATGAGGCTTGGTTGTTTTGGTTTAGCAAGAGGGGCAGAGTCAATTGTTAGGAGGATGGCTGAATGGTCAGAATAGAGGTCGTTGAGATTAGTTGTTAGGCTGTGGAAACTATTGGGAATTTTAGATATAAATATGTCCAAAATGTCTGGCCTTTTTCTGGGTGAAGTGGGCCAGTATGTCGGGGATGGGGGAGAGTGTACTTTGTAGTTACGATTTTGTGTTGTGAGATGAAGTAGGTTACCACGGGGATTGTTTACGCGACAGCCCCATTGTAAGTTTTTAGCATTTAGATCACCTCCTATTATAAATTTATGACCAAGAGTAAGGAAGAAGTCGTTGAATTGGTTTAAGGTTATTGTGTGGCGTGGTGGACTATATACTGCAAATATATTTAGAGGGGTGTTGTTAAGTGTTATTTGTATGCCACTGGCTTGAATGTGGTCCGTTTGGAATTGCGGGAGAGGAAAGAATAGTAGGGAAGATTTTACTATGATGGCGGCTCCCGCGTGTGCGGTGCCATCAGGGTGGTTGGTTTTGAAGATTTGGAACCCAGGAAGGTAGAAGTGTGTTGAATTGATGAAGTGAGTTTCTGATATGAGTGCGATGTCGATTCTGTTATTTTGTAGTAAGGCTAAGAGTTCGTCTTTGTGTTTTGCTAGACCATTAGCGTTCCAATTTAGGATGAGGAGAGAGTGAGATGTTGCGTTATTATTTGACATTTTTGGTGTTAATGAGATTTGAGAGGACGGTGGTGAGGAGAGAGATAAGAGGGTTTATTATAGATTTGAACTCGTCAAGGAATTTTAGAAGTGAGGATTCATTGTTGTTTGTGGAGGTGTTAGAGTTTGCGGACTGGTGACCCTCAGTTACATTAGCATACGTACGTGACCTGGGTGTGTTTTCGGATCCTGATTGTTGCTGTTGATACTCAGGATTGGTGTTGATGTTGAGGTTGAGATTATGAGGCGGTGGCTGCTGGGCTTTCTTGCTTGAGATGTTGTTGTTGTGTTTCCGGGAAATTGTTTGATATATTGCGCATCCCTTGTAGTTGGCTGGGTGTGCACCTTGACAGAGGCCGCATTTTGCTGGTAGATCGGGAGATTTTGTGCACGATGATGAAAGGTGGTTTTCTCCACATTTGACACATATAGGTGGGTAAGCGCAGTATGAGCGTGTGTGTCCGTAGCTTTGACAGTTTTGGCATTGTGGTATCTGACGTTTTTTGTGGGGCTCTTCTATTTTTACTTTTGTATGCAAAATAGAAGTAATAGAGAAGATATCGGTAACGTTTTCTCCATTAGGGTCTATGTCAATAAAGAACATGGGCAGCGAAGTTTTGGTTTGGTGGTGTTTAACATTGGTGACATTTCTCACCGTGAAACCTATTTCTTCTAGAGCTGTTGTTATATCAGATTCTGGAGTTGATGGATGTAGGTTCCTTATGACTGCTCTTAGAGGTTTGTCGGATTGGAGCTGGTAAGTGTGGTACTGTGCATTGATTTCTTTCAATAAGTGAATGATTTTTCTGTAATTGTCTGGGGTATCAGTTTGGACTTTTAGATGAGTTGGTGTCGATTTACACGAGAAGGTGTTTGGACCGATAGTGTGTTTAAATTGGTTTAGCAACCCCATGTAGTTAAGTACCCCTTTAATGAAAATGGGTGGAGGCAAAATTGTTTTTGGTGTATTGTTGGTGGTATTCAGTTGCTTCTCGTTTTGATTATCAGATATGACGTCGAGGTTTTCGATAGTGGACTCGTCTACAGATAGAACGCTAAACCTGTTTGGCGTGACGAACGATTTCGCTTTCTTAATGGCGGCTGTATAGGATGGAGATTGCGGTGGAGTGGACGATGTCGATAAGTTACGTTTATTTTTATTTTTGTTTTTGTCATCATTATTTTTACTGATTATTTGGTTATTGACAATTTTAATCGGGGATACGGTTCTGGAAGTCATATCGCCAATGTTATCGGAGTCCAAAGGTCACCGCGCGCGACGGTGCCTGAGGCCGGTTTGTGTTTTACAAAGTATGTTTCGCAGTAGAGGGATGTGTTGTATTTAGATTAATTTATAAATAATTAAAATATTTGACGATGTTACTTGATTTGGAGAAGTATTTATCACGTGAGTTGATCAGCTAACAAGTTTGTATCAGGAGTGTCAGGTATTTCGTTGAATGAGATGAAAAATAGAATTTTCAGTTCAGTAATTATGTAAATTTGATACTAATTAATGTAAAAGATCAAATTCTTGAGTTTGCACAAAATATGTCTAAAGAAAAACAGTTTAGGGAAGATTATTTCTCCCGCTATTGGAACTTTCAATCATTTTTCTTGGTGGATCTCAATACGAGGAGTATCATTTTGAGTACTAGGAGCTTGTCATCCTCCTCACTGAATGGCCAAGGAAATTTATTGTCTTAAAATTTTCATTTTTCGAAAGCAATTCAATATGACGTTGACAATAGAAAGTACGTGTCGTGATACATGTATTTTTATTATTTTTATTTCCATAAAAAGATGGTTTCGTTCGCACATTACTACAGAAGCCCCGTATCAAGATCTTTTATTTATTTAGAGCCTCATTGAATATAAAGATATTGATTATTGAGTTGTACGGGCATCAATTTTACTTCAATCAAACTTCCGGAATTTTAATTTTAACGGTTTATCCAATTAATACAATTGGCATTTTCTTATTTGATATTTGCTTCCTTTTTTTTGCTTATTTTTGTAGATCAATATGTGATTCTTCCCGATGTTACTTTATTTTTTATGTCCACGCCGGTATTATATTTACTACGTTCCTTATTTCTACACATTTAATTTCTCCAGATGTCTTTACTTCGTCATCAGGCTTCTTATCGATTTAAACTTCTTCATCTATCTCATCAACTTCAACTATATTTGCCTTTAGTTCTGTAAGTGCTGCCTCTAAATCCTCTTTTGTTTGTAGTCTTGGTAATACATTTTTGGAATAATTGAATTAGCTAATCCCATTTCCATTTTATTACCAAACATTGCTTCATATAGAGCGTTTGGTTACTGAAAATGTATAATTTATTCAAAACTTTAATTATACTATTACAATTATTATTTAATCAAAATTGTATTAAAAAAAAAAAAAAAATTATAAATTTTCATAATATTAAAATTTAACAGTTTAACAGTAGGTATTACAATAAAAAAAATGTTTTGGGTGTATTGAAATTTTTTTGACACGGCTCACATAATTTTGAATATAAATTTATAATCTCAATATTAACATTTTTGTATTTACTATTAATAGCATACGCAATACGATTTCCACCTCCGTGACCTGTTGCAATATGTACTTCATGAATAATTTCATACAAATTATCATAGCAAACATAGTAACGCATTTCTCCAGAGGCACTATTCATCGGAGCATATTATATAAATATTGTTAGTTAATACTAATGTAGTCGCGTTTTGTTTATCGAACGAGCAACATGCATGTATCACTCGCGAGTGCTCAATCTACGCGTTCGTTAAGAATATATTAACTATACATATGTCTTCGCCTTCGAAGGAAGTATCAAGTGACACATGGATGATCTAGGTTATATGCGTGCGGCGGCTGTAACCATATCTCGGAATGTCTGTGACGGGTCAGGTTTAAGTTGACCATGCAGTTATACTACAAATACAATAAGACAACGAAAAATTAACTAAGGTTGTGACCCAATTGCAAGCGAGCAATTCCCAACTACAGAGTGAATTACTAAATTTCCGAGTAATATTAATGATCCTAATAAAAATAAAAATCTAAACAGTACGAAAGAAAATGAAAATTCAGATAATAATTCAGGTATTAGTCCAAATAAAAAGACGCTAGAATTGATAGAAAATATTTATGACAAAAAAACTAAAGTATATAAACCACAGCTAGTGGTGTGAAAAATATACAAAACTTGTTTAGTAGACTAACTCGTGAAGAAGTTTCTGGCCACGAACAGCAGCCATTTGACTTAGTCCAATTATTAGATTAAGAATGTGGCTGCATCACTGGAAGTAAAACCCCACATAAGTTTTGTGTATATACAGTGGGTCAAAAAAGTCTCCGTAAACTGATGTTAGATTTTTTCCATTACACATAATGATAATTAAAAAGTCGAATAACTTTATATTTTTTACGACAATTTATTAGAAAACACATGAAAATTATGTTTTTAGAAAAATAAAGCATATATATTAATTATTTTATTATTTACGTGTATATTTATAAATAAATGTAGAAAAATAACAAAAAAGTTTCCGTACAACATAACATAAATATTTTTAACTTAATACAATATAATAATTATTAACACTTTATTATAATTAATGGTCAGTTGGTCCTCCTTTAGCTTTAATTACTTCGTGCATATGCTTTTCCATTGATTTAACTAATTTTATTGTAACAGTAGGGTCAATACTGTTCCATATTTCAAGTATTGCATTTTTCAATTGATCTTTCTTTTGAGTTTGATAATTTTTTAGACGTCTACCCATTTCATCCCATAAATGTTCTATCAGATCCATGTCTGGTGATTGTGGAGGTGTGTTAAGTTGCTTTGTCACTCGGTACAACAACTATTCTTTAACTTTTTTTGCGTTATGTTTTGGGTCATTATCTTGTTGAAAAATAAACGAATTGCCAATGTTTAGTTTTTCAGCACTGACATGCAAATCATTTCACAAAATGTTTAAATATATATTTTGATCCATAATTCCATCGATAAATACCAAATTACCAACACCAGTAGCGCTCATGCAGCCCCAAACTAATACATTACCACCTCCATGTTTTACTGTTGAGCATAAATTTTTGCAATCCAAATGGTCTGTGGCACAACTTTTATATTATAGTCAGTATGTCAATCATACCTGCCAGTTTGGGTGCACTGGTTTTTGGTTCCATCACAACTGTCCTTAGAATGGCCCTCTTTTTATTTGAATTTAATGTTTGGAGACGACCAGTACGTTTTCGATCTTCAAAAGAACCAGTTTCGTTGTATCGGTTTATAATATATTGTACAGTGGAGTGCGATTTTTTTTATTGTTTGAGCAATATTTCTGAGAGAATTCCCATCTTCTTATTGAACTACTACTTTATGAACAGAAATCGGTATTTCCATTGTTCAATGTAAATAAATGAATAAAACGTACAGTACGACTGATGGCTAGATACCTACTGTCACGTTCATCATGCTCACCGGGTTTTATCGTTAGATTATGTTGCCAGACCATATTATTGTCTTAATTTATGATAGAACTCTCAATATCATGAGTTTTTCCTATCTCATCACTATTTTTATCTAATATTCATATTATGTACGGAAACTTTTTTGTTGTTATTTTTCTATATTTATTTGTAAATACACGTAAATAATAAAATAATTCATTTATATGCTTTATTTTTCTAAAAACATAATTTTCATGTCTTTCCTAATAAATTGTCGTAAAAAATATATAGTTCTTCAACTTTTTAATTATCATTATGTGTAATGGAAAAAATCTAACATCAGTGTACAGAGAATTTTTTGACCCATTGTATATATTGCATTGTATGTATAAATACTTCTATTGATTAGTTATTAAAATAAAAAATAATAATTAAGAATATAACAACATTATATTATAACCTCTAAAATTATTCCCATGGTAAGTTAATATCAGTGTTATAAATCAAAAAAATACACAATGCTTTTACAGAAAATAACAGAATAAAGGTTAACTACAAAATCAAGTACGCCATGTACGCTTCTATCGAAAATATATGAAATACTCGCACAATTGTTCACAAAAATTAGTAGAATAGGTCCCCGACCTATAGATCGCACGGCACGATTACAAAACGTGCCGCCGTCGATACTCCCACCACCCAGTCATCGCCGGACGGACCGCTTAAATACCGGCCGACCGGCCGGCTAATCATCATTCGTGACGAGTCTATCGACTTGTTCATACAACATATTTAGTGCCGGTCTACACTATCTGTTTTCAACGGACCACTGAACCGGTCATAGGTAATTATGTATAATAGATGGGCAACTCCTGTGTTAAGAAAATTGGTCGTGTAGTTACCGCTTTCAGTGGCTGTGTATATTAGTACTGTCATTACTGATCGTGGCGGCTACTGTTATTCATAGTAATAATATATTATTACCATAAATAAGATTATAGTATAGATAATAGGAAATAATACGATTAATTTTTATTTCCAAAAATTTCACTTTTTAAACCATCGTGCTTAGTTCTAACTCACACGGACCACTTTTGAACCAATTTTTTGTGGTCTAGCTATCGCTGACGCAACCACACTACGACCACAAATAATTTATTAATATATGACCTACCTAGACCTTACCTTTTACTGGCCACTGTAAAAAATGGATTCCGACGAAGAAGCACTGTTGTTAACACTTTTGTTACGCAGAAGACGTTGTCGAAAACCAAAAGAATATTGGATAAATCCCAATATTGAAAATCGGGATGAAAGTCAGTTTTATTTGTTGTACAATTCATTAAAAATGTACGATGATACATTTTTTAATTACTCCAGGATGAGTATGAGTACTTTTGATTATTTGTTAAGTGAGCTAACTGAAAGCATACAACGAAGCGATTCAACCATGAGAAAAAGTATAAAAGCTGACGAACGTCTCGCACTTAAAATAAGGTAAATTATACTAGTTGCATACCAAATTATTAAGTACATATTATATTATTGCAAATTAACTATTTATGTAAATATCATAATTTTAATTGACAATATTTAATATAATTGAATCGTGATCATTATCGGTGGCCTGAGATGAAATGCTGTCTGGTGAACTTGATTGAGTGTAGGTTGGTGAGATTTCTGGTATACTCACTGTTGTAGGTATTCGAAATGGAGACAGTTCGGTATGGTTCAGATATTTTTTGTGTGGATACATCGGGTATTGGCCTGTTTCATACTCGGTCGTGTTATAACTATGACTTGGTGTATTATCCAAACGTCTACCAAACAACTCATAATTATAATTTTGAGTATTAGGTTGACTATATTTTTGAATTACACTCATTATTTCAATTTGAACTTTTTCGATTAACATTAATATGTAAATTGAGGTAGAAAATAAAATTATTACAAATAATGACAATGAGCTAATTAGCAATGAAACGAATATTGAAATAAGGGAAACTTAATTGACAAAATAAAACAAATTACAAAAAATAACAATAACCAGTTTGTTTGAACTAAATAAAAACCTTGTTGGAATTACTTCAGTTTCAGAATGATCTGAAGTTTCTGTTTTCTTAGAAAAAGTAACTGGAATCAAACCAACATCGAGGTCAAGAAAAAAACGTCCAATAACAAACAGATCTTAAATGAATCCAAGTAGATCAACCATTAAATAGCGAAATAGCATCCAATAAAGATGTTTAGGAGAAATATTAAAAACAATACGGCCAATGTAAAATCGCATTTAGTTTAAACTTTTAATAATTTATTATTTTTTTTATTTATTATAATAAATTATTGACGAACCATTTTGCTCACAGCTCATCTCCATCTATACATATTTTTTTTTATCCGATTACTTTATTTTTATTTTTTCTATTATAAACTATAAAAACAAATTATTTAAAATCATAATGTCAACTCATTTGGTCTGTGTCTTTATGATGAAAATACTTTGAAATTTAAATTAACCATGCTACCATATAATGTTATATTACTATAGTCGAGGAACAAAAAGTGGCCGCTGGTGGTTGGTTATAATATTAACAACGTATTTTTTTTGTCAAACAGTGGTTCTTCAGTTGTCACTACCATTGTCAGTCACTTGCAGACGTTTGGAATGCATTAAGTTGAACCATAAAATATTAAAATATTAATGAATAATCAAATCATACAAAATCTTATAAACATGCATTAGCCTATAATATGTTCAAAAAAAAATTACAATGGCATGTACTTGACATTATTTTTAAGGATATAGGACAATACATAAAAAATAGTCCCACAAAAAAGAGTACGTATGGTTATCATACATATAATGCATTGTTGAAAGAGCAGTACTATTAATCAAGGTTCGTTCAGAATCATTTTTCTATACCAAAGATTAATCATTCCGTACAAATATACATCCCCCTCTATATCTTACTTTCTAAATATATCACCTAAATTATTATGCGAAGCATGTCCGTATCTTTAGTTTATGTTATCGTGTATAAAATTGATGGAATTATGAATTATTATTATTTTAAGATAGTCCTCATCAGTAGATTAACAGTAACCGAAGACAGTAAACGTTGTTTTCAATTCTTAGGCGTGTTTTGGCGAAGTAAACTGTATAGTAAATAAGTTTATGATTATAGAATGCGGTAAGAAAACGGTTACTGGAACGCTAAAACGCCAATATGAACATTTTGTTTACTGAAATATAATCGAATTCCGACGTTTCAAGTCGATTCTGTATACCTTGACGACTCCAGATAAGTCAGGGATTGACGATTAATCAACGGTGACGTATATATTTAATTATTTTGCAGCATTTTAGGGTCCAGGTTTCAACTTTGATTGTTCATATTTACAAGTTCATAGTGTTCAAGTATTAAATGTATTTGAAAAAACTTACTTCTTTTGGGACTATCCATGGTGATTTGTAAAGTATATATAACAATGAAAATTATAATTAATTAATGCAAAATATCAGTAAACTATAGGTAGTTAATAGGGTACGTATTCGTTGCAGTAAAAAAACGTAATACTAACTTTATGAAATTGCAACACATACTCGTATGTCTATGTCATGTAAGGAGGGTTCACAAAATACTGTTATTTTTTTGCATGCGGAATAGTCATGTTACAGTAGACCATTACAATAAACAAGATTGGGAATCAACGAATTGTTTATGAGCCTGGTACAAATAGTGTTCAATCAATTTCTTTATTAGATCCAAAAAATATATTTTTATCTTCACTACATATAAAACTGAGTTTAATTAAAAATTTTGTGAAAGAAATGGGTAACACAAATTCTGAAGGATTTCAGTACCTTAAAGAAAAACTTCCAAAGATAAGTGTAGCTATATTTCAATAATAATAATATTTCTTTCAAGAAAGCATGGCAGGCTTTTATATGGACTTGTAATAACTTTTTGGGGAATCACAAAACGCTTACATATAAGGATGGAATTCAAAATCAATTAAATGCGTATTATAAACTTGGATGACGAATGTCATTGAAAATTAATTTTTTATATTCACACCTCGATTTTTTTCTGGAAAACTTAAGTATGGTAAGTGATGAACAAGGCGAACGGTTTTATTAGGACATCCAGTTTAAGGAAACAATTTGCTTTTTTAATTTAATTATTTAATTATAAATATTTTTTTGAATTTATTTATAGCATAATATGTTCATGTAATTTTAACCATTGAAAAAAACAATTAAAATAAACATTTAATTTAGTAATTTTATTTTAAAATATATGCTTTATCTTTAAAAAATGAAATAACTATAAGTAAAAGAATAATGGTGATAGAAAA